GAATGTTTACTAACCGATGTACTTTATCCCAGGTAAGGCCCCTAAACTTATCTTTTACCAACTACAAGTAACAGAAAAATCAGAACCAATTAAGTTAAAAGAAAGAGAGAAAAATAAATCTCTGTACAAAAAAGTTGGAAATAATAAACTTTTATACTACTGAGTTTTGTTGTTCTTCTTTTCTAATTTATAAGATTTGTAGTAGCATTTCTTGTTGTTGTTGTTCTTGTTGATTTCTTCACTAGTAAGATGAGGTGAGAGATAAAAGTTATATAAATATAGATATCAAAACTTCAAATTCTTTCAATAGTTATTGCATACATATTATGTATGCATAAATCAAGAAATATTCAAAATACATTGTATGGCTGGTATTGACCACTTTTATATAGATATAGTTTTTGAACCCTCTATATCAATGCACATAATTACAATTCCACAAGTATCACAAGAGCACTCAAGAAATGAAGGTCAAAGATTACCTCAATCCTGTATTATTGCGTATAATTGTTGAATTTTATATAAGTACTCAAGTGATGTATTATTGATAACCTCTAATATAAATTTTTAAACATTCGTAATTTGAGTTCGAGAGATTGATGTGTTAGAATAAAAATTCTTTTTAAATTCGTAAATCTGTAAAATTTAAGCATACATTATTGTATTGAATTAATGAGAAATATAAACGAAAACGTATCTGAAACCATCGCAAAAAATTTGTTCGCATCTGACGGTAAAATCTTCTGAATTAACACGGTGTTTTGAAACACATTTTTTTATCTTAGTGACGAAATTTTAAAAAAATAAACATGATAACTTTGTAATTCGAGAATCATAACTATTTTTTTTATTAATAAATTTTTACAATTTTTATTTGTCTATCATAAAATGAGAGTATTATGAAAATGATATTTGTACGTTACAAACTCATATTTAAACCTAATGATATATTAAGACCTAATATTGTTTAACTATATTTTATAACTTTTAAACAAATTCATTAAATTGATGGTATGATATGCAAATCAAAATCTATATTAAACCCACATATTATAAACAATACAATACCTTGAAATTGTAATTTTAACATATTTTAACATATATTAATAACAAAATTATAATTTTATCATTACCTACTTAAAATTTTAATTTGTTATATTAATAACATATTCTTATCCATGGAGTCAGTTAATAAATAAGTTAATTAAAAATTAATTTAAAAAAAAAAACTTAAAAAAATCAAGATAAAGTAATTATTTTATTTTGAATAATTATACCCAATTTAAAACTCCATTTCAATATTTGTCTTGACTAATAAAAAGAAATTAACCAATAAAAATATATAAATTATTATATTTTCTTATATATTGATGCCATAAATCCTCCACAACACATATATATATATATATATTTACATATAGAAATTATATTAAATTGCCAAAGAAGCGTTATTAGTTCGAAAATTCGCCTTTTAATTAATTAGCGGTTTCCAAGAGGTCAGCGGTAAAAGTTTGAAGCTACAATAAAAAGACACTTCCACGTGTCGGACGTAGATGGCGAGTTTACTTTTTTACCATACTCTCGGGGCTATATTTAAGCAAATAGCGAGGCGGAGCGTTCCCTCGTTTCTTCAGTTCAAATTTTCAAAAGCGACCCAACAACTCTCCCCATCTATCTTTCTCTTTCCGTGTTAAATCAGATTATTACAGCTTCAGAAACAATCCAGGGTTTTCCCCTCGTTAATCGCCAATAATTAATCATACACACCGCCATAGAGAAGCGAATCGAGACGTTGATGATATGATATGCAGATTGCTAGGTCATGAAATTGCGCTACTCTGTAGATCGGTGCTTAGATTTCTTGACAGATCGGTGTGCAGAGCCATGGGCTGTTTCGTTGGTTGCTTTCGTGTCAGAGACGATCGCTCTCGAACTCACCTCGTTTCTCGCTCTACTCGCTCGAACAAGTCCACAGTAATTTTTCCTTTTCCTTTTCCCTTTTATCTCCGTTTGGTTGCCGAGAAAATTTTTGAAAAAGATGCGTTTTCTTTCTTTTCTTCCATCCGTCTTTCTCCTAATAGGACCGCGCATGAATTAACTCATAGATAGATACTTCTCTTAACTTTATCGCCAGTATACATTGATTTTTAATTGCACTTTCATAGATATGTACGGTAGACTGAAAACTTTCGATCGTTTTTGAGATAGAGGAAATGGAGATATTTTTTATTTGTGGTGTTTGGTTTGTATTTGTGTTAGAATTTAGATTAAGAAATTTTAGCTCGGTTGTTCTACATTTTCTTCGATACCAGATGGACGGTCAGTGAACTTCTCATGCTTATTACTAATTCCTTTTTATCTGTATCAGGAAGTTGTGGTATCCAGAAATCGTTTATCCTCTTTGTTTTTATCCGAAGGTAATCAGGGCCTTTTTGGTGGATACGCTGTCATATTGGTTTTCCAGTATATTAGTTTGGTGTAAGATCTCCTGTTTGTAGGAAATGTACTTACAAAGGTTTCACTCTTTCTTTTGCTGTTTTTTTTTCCCTTTCCAATGGCCTTTTTTCTCCCCTCAATTGTAATTCCAGAGAACGAAGAATCTTTAAGCACCGATAAGGGTACTATTTGTTTGGATTCTGTACAGATTGACAAGGGCCTTAAGGATGAGGTTTGTTTATAATTAAGCTTCCATTTTCTTCTTCAATTTGGAGAAATAATATCCTCTATTTATATTAACTTTTGAATACTGCCTGAACTATCATTGATATCTCGAGAATAAACAAACGGATACTTGTGGACCTGTGGTACTTTCAGTTCTTCATTTTCATGACTGGGATATTCTTAAGCTAGTGATGTCCTGTTTCTGCAACAAGAGTTTGATACAAAGAGCAAAACTAATTGGGAAAAGTTCTCTATCATTTATTATGTTATTTTAGAAGATTCCTCTGGCGTTTGTATTATGTATGTGGAATGTGGTTTATAAATAAGCTCACTTAAAAGATTTTATTATTGGTAGTGTGCTATGTATATATATAGGCTGGTGCACTCTGCTTTAGTGTTTAAAATATCTCAATTCTTGTAGGAATCAGAAGCCTACAGGCTACAACATCCCAAATGTTTGTGGATACCACCACCATGACTTCTGCAACTCATTCATTTTTTTTTTTTTTTTCTTCAATTTTATTTTGTAAATTTCGTCTGCAGGCCAAATTTCTTAAAGCTTGTGGCACAATACCAGAGACTCCTATTGAAATTCGGAAAGCATTTGACAAGTTAAAAATTTCCCCTACTTGTGACACAGACTCAGAAATTTCAGTATCCCATTCAAATATTCACAATCGATCCACAAAAAAATTTGACACAGATGCACATCTGGTTCAGCCGATTACTCCTATCAAACTTGGTGAAGAACGGGGAAGGGAATCACTTTCTTCTGAGCATTCTCCTCACAGGTTAAACTTCTAGACTTCAAATTTACAAGCTGGTTGATACACGTCTTGTTTACTGATATATCTAGAATTTGCTTTACTTTGAGCAGAGAAACGCACTAGGTTAACCAATATTTTGTGAAGTGTGAGTGCTATATGATGATTCTGTGGTTGTAATTTTTGTTTATGGGTGGTATAGGTTTGAGATTGAGAGATTGTGGATAATGATAGTTCTTTTCCTTTCTTCAAGCTGATAGATGTCTTAGGAAGAATATATAAATCTTTCTTTTTTTTTTTATCTTTACACAACTCTCTAAATGATTTTACATTTATCTATATCTTCTAGAATTTTCTAAAGAATTTCTAGGTGTTTCTCCAATTTTTAAAATATTATAGTAGAATTAATTCTCTTACGTTTTCAGCATTCGTTTTCATTTATATACTGGTTAAGGTCCTATATTTGTATATAGTTGGTTTTGTCTGGTGCATCTTGCATGTCCAGACGTCCTTTCTGCGAAAGTATTTGGCTTTGACAGGTGCTTGATACAATTTCTTTTTTTTTTAATTATTTTTTTTTATCACAGTTGTATATCCAGTGTCCAGAACTCAGGAATCAGCTCTGGGGAAGGAAGTGAGAAAGGAAGTGTTGATGCAAAGTTGAGGGATCAAACTAATAAAAATGTTGACTTCACACCTCCAGCTGCAAATGTTCAGGGCAAGAATCGATCTGTCCGGTTTGAATGTGATTCTGATGTTTCTTTTTTTAAAGATTCATCTGAATATGTTAAGCAAAGTACAAAGAAAACTGAATCACCTGGTATATCAAAGTCACCCAATTTAACTCCGTTAAAGCTATCTGATGAGATGCAGACACCTGGAACTATTTTCCCCACTAGCTTGGAAGCATTAGGGAATGGGAAGACTCGAATCAGGTCCCAGTATGTGTATTCAGTGATGAACCCAATTGAAAATATGTCTCAGTTGAAAGTACTGAAGGAAGAAGATTCTCATTCCATCCAGATAGTAGGTGACCTTCAACATCCTACTGAGAAAACAGAAGGTAAAACTCCAGGGTCAGAAGTAGTGGTAAAAGAAATTACAGCTACGAACGAATTGAAGGTGGAAGCTAGCTTGTCATCGTGGCTGAAGCCACAGCCTTCTGCTTGTGATGATCAGAATCAAAATATAGGGGCTATATCCAGCAGGGTTCCTCCTTTTGGCAGAACTCCCGGTGACAGGCCAATTATTGGAATGGTCGCTGCACACTGGAAAGATGATGAATCTTCTCACGTCGCACATAAGTGGTGGGATGGGAATGGAATCCCAAACTCAACCAATAAATACAAAGAGGTATATTTTGTTTTCGCCTTGTTTTTTCTTATAGCTTTCGTAGCAGAGGTATGGAACATCTATGCTGCTTCTTTTGCAGGATCAGAAAGTGAGTTGGCATGCAACACCGTTTGAGGAGAGGTTAGAGAAGGCACTCTCTGATGAGAGTTTAATCACTCAAAGGTATGTTTGCTTCTTCATCTGTTGCATTCAATATTCCCATTACAGAATTTACTTTATGATGCTGGTATCAAGAGTAGTAAAAGGCTTAGACCCGCTAGACACTTCTTAAACAACCAAGGAGCCAAATAATAGTGGTAGAAGAACCAAGTTGCAAACTTGCTAGTGTCTATTTTAGAGGATTCTTAGGCTCCTGGATCAGCGTTCCTTGTGCCCGTCCAATTTTCTTTAAAATTCCTCTGCGAAAAACAATTAAAATACTAAATTGGTCCCATATTATTTTAAAATATTTAGACTAGTGAATGTAATATTTTTTTTTAACAATAATTTATATATTTTCAAAAATTTTTAATTTAGTCGTTGACTATTAATGTTTGTTAGTATGATTAGTAAAAATATTATGGACTAGGATTGAATACATGTTAATATTATAGTTAAATTAATATTAACATTAAATGGTAGGTGTCTTATGATATGATATTTGATAAATAAAAAAATAAAAATAAAACCATTAAGAAAAAAAAATACAATTCACTGCAATCTTGCAAGAGCTTTCTCTCCATCACTTCACCGACCAACAATAGCTATAGTAGCAGTAAGAAACCATGTTGCCTCCATAGCCATTGGTTACGGGGGAGCATCTGCCTTGAGCTCTGGGACCCCCCCCCGCGGTGATGAATCTAACTCCGCTGACAAGTTCGTCGAAGGCACCCTTGATCTCAAAGATGATGACAGTATCATTCTCCGCTGCGGTTGAGCTGGGAACCGTCATCAATATCGTCGGAGTCGACAATCTCGCAATTGCTTCTGCAACTGTGTCTGCTTTCATTTCGAGGTCATCCATGATTAGTAGAGCTTTTTCAAACAGCCAGTTGAGGCAATTTCCGTAGGATCTCAAGGTGGAGGCTGTAGTTATCGTAGCCAAGCAGTTATCGCAGGAGATAGGAGCCAAGCATAAACACTTGTCTTGGAGCCACGACGGTGGGGACTAGGGCGTTCCGGCTACTTCATCATCAGCGCCGGTTCAGAATGGAGGTTGGGCTTTGCCATATCCGTGCCATATCATCTAAACTGAATTCTTGAGAAATTTCGGGATTAGTACATTAATAATTAGAGAGTAAATCAAAACTTTTTTAGAATATAGGTGTTAAAATTATAAAAAATAATACATCAATCAATTTAAGTATTTTAAAATAATATGAGAATTAATTTTAATATTTTAGCACAAAAGTGTAAATGTAAGCAAGGGAAGAGGGTGGAAATGGCCGGGACTATATTTAATTTGACTAATTTTGTAAATTAAAATAGCTTATAATCTGGTTTGAGAAAGAATAAGTCGAGCTAGTGTGGCCTTTAAAAATTAGAAAAGTTCTTCTACATGTATCCCTTTAATAGTTTTATCAGAATTTTAATTTATTGTATTTTTTTTATGGAATTCTCGTTATTTATAAGCCTTACAAACTTCACAATATTACTGATATTAGAATAGGGGTACCCAACAAGTCGGTTTCAAACTTACAGGAACACTTGTTTGAGAATAAAGAAATGAATGTTTGGAAGTGTCTAGCACCACAATCAGGGGGCTAATGTTTCTATTGCCGAAAATTGCTTGCTGTTGCATAGACTAAAGATTTAGTTTTATTTCCAGGAAGCACATCAGCCATACTCCAGTTGCTTTTGATGCTGAAGAATGTGACACTGCTTCATCACAACTGCGACCTTCAACGAACTCTAAGTCTGTAGTTTCATTCTGATGGCATGCTGGTGAGTTCCCTTTTTGTTCAGGTGCAGGTATTCACAAATATGTCTATCGTACCAAGCCTTTCTGGGTATTTGATGTGTCAATGTAATTGAGTTAGAACTCACATTTTAAGTTGACATCATGAGAGTATGATAGTCGGTTTGCCTTGAGCGGTACTGTTGAGTTCTTTGTGCTGTACGCGGAAGACATTGTTATGTCAGTCAGTAAAATCAGGTGAGGAAGAAGCTACTTGTAATTGATGCACATATATTTCTACAGGTTTGGGTTTTTATTTGCTGATTTCAGTTTTGCATTTATGGAATCATGATAAATGTTACATGGAAGAACCAAAGATGAATTCATATCACAGATTTCTCTTTGATTTCAACCCATGACATATTGCTTCATTTTTCTTTGCAAATAAATCAATAAAATTATTTTGGAAAAATTAGTGTTACAGGTTGATTGATTATTATATTCCTTGAAAAATTATAAGTTCTTAAGGATATAGATGAGTTGCCAGACTCAAAAAAATTGTGATTGGTTTACTTTCAGTTATATTTTTATAACTAAGTTCAGTTCGATTGGTTATGAACAGGGTAAGATGGAAGACCAATTTCAAAAGAGAACTGAGACTTGAGTTGAAAGACTCAAAACTTGCGATTGGTTCACTTCAGAGTTATGTTGTTATAACTAAGTTTGAGTCCAAACAGAGAAATAGAATTGGGTATAAACAGGGTAAGATGGAAGATCAATCTCAATAAAGAACCTGAGAATTGAGTTGAAAGACTCAAAACTTGTGATTGGTTCACTTTGAGTTATATGTTCTTATAACTAAGTTGAGTTCAAACATTAGAAATACAATTGGATATAAACAGTGTAAGATGGAATGCCAATTCCAAAATTGCACTTCGAGTTATGTTCTTATAACTACCAAGTTGAGCGGAAACAAAGAAATACAATTGGGGTATAGACAGGGCAAAGATGGAATACCAATTTCAAAAAGAGAACTCAGACTTGAGATTAATTAATTTATAAGTTGTGTTGGTTATAGTTTTATACTAATTGTGAAATATTAGCAAAGGACAAAAGGGTCAATTCAATGACTAGAGAGATAAAGAGTTGGCTCGAGAAAAACCCTAGATAGCAGTTTATATATAGAGCGTGGGTTAAGACTGTGAATGTCTAGGGTTTTAAGAAGCAATAGGCGGCGAAGCGATGAGAGTTTGGAAGAAGACTTCTGAAGCGGCAAGAGAAATATGTGGATAAGAAAACCTGATGGGGATCATGAAGACATCTGTTTTTAACATCAAATAGTTTTCAATCTGAATTCAAAAAAATTGCTGCTCGTCTTCTCTCCTCCCATCGTCTCCCTCAATTCTTCTTCCCTCTTCCGGCCTTGTGATGATGCGATTTACAGCTCTGAAGGTTCTCTCTCTCTCTCTTTCATCAACCCAACCTTATCTTCTTTCTGGTTTTCTCTCTAAATTCTTCCGACTTTTGGATTTACTTTCAGAAACAGACGATTCCGTCTCGGGGACGAATTTCAGATTTCGTGTGAAAAGCATTCACGAAAACTCCCCGAATTGAAATTCTTTTTCTTCGATTAAATCCAAAAGTGGCAGATTCGAAAGGCACGAAAACCTGAGAAAATTACATCCCGTGAAAGATTAGGGTATTGAGATTCGGACAGATGCGCAGTCAAATGTCAGAAATTCTCTCTCTACATTGACCAAGAAGATGATAATTTTTTAAATCGCAATATAAAAAATCATAATTTAAATTTTAATTATATAAATCATAATTTTAATTATAAATTATTTAATTTATTTTGGCGGACCCAATATTTTTTAAAAAATAAATAGACACCCAATTTTTTTTTTTAATTTTTTAAAATTACTTTATATACTTTATGCGACAGCCACACATCTCTAATTATTATTTAATTTTATTTATCTTTATTTTTATAATTTTTTAATCTTTGTACTTTAGAAAAATATTGTGCATATATTCCATATTTGCTCACATGGAATTACCTCTAATAAATTTAAATTACTAACAATTTAAAAAATCACTTTAAATTAATTAATATAGTTTTTAATATTAAAAACCATTATATTTAATACTATACACAATCAAAATTTTTAATTAAAAAAAATAAACTATATAGAAGAGAGATATAGTGTTGTTATTATTACAAAAAATCTCATTAATAAAATATATAATTTGATTTATCTTATAATATGAAATCACCCACTTGTCTTATTCAAATTGTTAGGAACTAAATTTAGTAATTATATATTTTACAATTTTTTTTTATAAAAATTTTGGATGTAATTATATTTTTAAAAATAATAAAATAAATTTCAAAAATTATTTTTTAAATTAAATTAACTCCAATAATAAAAGGGAAGGAGGTAAATAATAATTCATTATTATTAAAATAATATTTAAAAAAAGGCATTCCACCTACCTAGATTGGAAAAATGGCACGTGCTTCAGATTTTTGTCACTGCAAAACTCACGTGTAAAATAAACGCACTCATCACCTACCAGCCCCATTCTATAAAACCCCGTCCGCTGCTTATACTTCCCTTCACTTCACTTCACTTCATTTTCTCAGACCTTCGTCCTCGCATTCAATTCAAACATGGTGGTTAAGGTGTACGGTCCTGCCTATGCTTCTCCAAAGCGTGTTCTCGTCGTCCTCGTCGAGAAGGGGATTGAATTCGAAACTGTTCCTGTTGATCTCGTCAAAGGAGAGCATAAGCATCCTGACTTTCTCAAACTACAGGTTTACCTCCTTACTCTTATATATTTTCCCTTTTCTTGTTCGCTTTATTTAACATCAAGTCTAACGTGGTGGTTTCTGATCTGATTCAGCCTTTTGGAACGGTTCCGCTTGTCCAAGATGGAGATCTTGTCTTATTTGGTAAGTTTTTCCCTCTGTTTTTTAGGGATCAAGTTTTGATCAACGCATTTAGGGATTTTCTTCAGTTGTTTGATTGATAGAGAAGTGAAATCCTGAAGTGATTGTTAAATATTTGTGCAGAATCAAGAGCGATCATGAGGTACTACGCGGAGAAATACAAGTCGCAGGGACCTGATCTGCTCGGGCAGAGCGTAGAGGAAAGAGCAGTGGTGGAGAACTGGCTGGACGTGGAGGCAAGCTGGTTCAACCCGCCAATTTTCAACATGACACTTCACATAATGTTTGCTCCAGTTCTTGGTTTCCCTGCTGATGAAAAACTGATAAAGGAGAGTGAAGAGAAGCTGGGAAAGGTGTTGGATATTTACGAGGAGAGGCTGTCAAAGAGCAAATACCTAGGTGGAGACTTCGTCAGTCTGGCGGATCTCAGCCATCTGCCCTTCACACAGTACCTGGTTGGCCCAATGGGGAAGGAGTATATGATACGTGAGAGGAAGCATGTGAGTGCTTGGTGGGATGATATTAGCAGTAGACCATCTTGGAAGAAGGTGATGGACCTCTATAAACCACCCCTTTGATCAATTGCGTTAATCCTCCCAATAAATGCTCTTTTCCTTTTTTTTGGTCGCAACAATTTGAGAGTCAACTATGTTTAATGACCCTTTTCATTTTCTTTCTGGAAGTCTTGGATTGCGGTTTTCTGTGTCTGTGATATGTATAAATAAATTAAGATTCTGAGGGTAGTTTCTTCCTCTGATTGAGTTGCAGTCTGCTTAATTAAATTACACTCAGCAAAATCAATGCCTCCAGGTGTTTTTGTCAGCCGGATTGATTCTCTTCTTCCTTTGGTAGTCCATTAGGACTCGGAATGAATTGGGCAAATTTAATTAAAAACAAATAATAAAAAAGTAGAGATTAAAGGTGTGGATGAGGAGCTTTCATGATTATAGTAAAGAAAAAGAGAATTCTTTTTAGCTGTTGGAATGAAAAATTATTTTTAGATTCCCACCATTTTATACCTCCTCCTGGTAGAGTCTCTATTTTTATTAGATTGTCCAAGCTAATCTTACATCAATCAATACACTCGAAATATTAAAATATTATTCTATTAAATAAAGGTTGTGAAACCAATAGGGAAAATGCAGAAGGACATTGGGAAACCTTGAGAAGGGAAGCCAAGAAGGAACCCATTTATGTGTGTGTGTGTGTGTGTGTGTGTATATGTATATTAAATGGAGTGATGGGTGAAAACTCATGTTGGCAGAAATTGTCAACATGGGTCAAGTGAGTGAGAGGCATATGCAAAGTTCATAGTAAGCATAGATTTAAGTGAAACCATTCAATAATTAAATAGGCTATACATATGTATATATATATATATATATAAATGATGGATAATTACCAGCTATAAATTTATGTATTCTAGGCTATAATTTTTATGTACCATACCGATATCACAAGTGGAAATGGGATATCATGTAAGAACCGACTAAAATTTCACATTCTATCTGTAAGAGTACTTCTCATAACTTTAGAGTCTGTGATTTATTACCGACTCTTCACCCATTATTTTTTTTCCTTCTTTCACCTCATCCAACCTTTTTGCTCTCCTCCGGTGTTTACCTTTTTCGTTGCAAAGCCAAGTTTTCCATCATCTCTCGTTCATTCTTAATAGTCTTCGGCTTGGTTTATAGTGTCTAGTTATCGTCTCCAGCCCGGTCTTCGCCTTCCACTCGCCGCGTCATAATTCAATTCACCCAAAACATCTAGAAAGCTCATCAGTTAGTTGAAGTCAGAGGGATTAGGCCGAACTTAAACCTTTTCGGTTTTACCCACCAGGTGCTACCCATCATATCAAACATAAACCGAGGATGCTACTACCTTTAACCATAAGCTAAGGCTACACTTGCAAAAAAATAACTTCTATTTTCTCAAATTCATTGTATATATTAATGCTTAATATGTAGGACAACTAAGTTTTCACCTTCAACAAGAATCATCAGAAATTATAATTCATTGTACATATGTCTAATATGTAGAACAAGTGTGTGTTTACGTCCAACAACAACTGTCAGAAATTACAATGAATTCAAGAACAACTCAAATAATGAAGCTCTGTATACACACAATTTGAGTAGAACCTCGGTGGTTATGCCCTTACACTTGAAACAAGTCAGGGATATCCTCCATCGCATATCATAATTGACACAATGCAGTCTTGCAATCCAGCAATTATAAGAGGATAGAACAGGGGAAAATTCATACACAATCAACCTCCAATTGTGATTCTAAATGTTCTTGTGTAGATCTGTAAACGAAATACAAAATCAAGGCTGATTAAAAGAGTTCTCTCCTTGATCGGGGTGCGTATTAGCTGCTGAGTTAACAACAGGAATATCCAAGCTGCCTCCCATTGCAGGGGGTATTTCTCTTACATATTCTACCCTTGAGTCTGTTGCCTGAATATCACTCCACTCACCCTCGCCAATTGGAGGGACATTTACTTGATTCACTGCCATGTGAACAACATTCTCCCCGGGCAACGGAACCACCCTAGAAACACTAAGACAAGCTTTATCCACGTTCTCCTCAGATAAATCTACATCCTTCGTAATGGGAAGAGAAGTGCTACTGTTAGAAGCCTCCATCTTCTCCTCAAAAACTTGCTTCGTGTCAATCTGCTGCCTGTTAACAAACACCATTAAGCATAATTTCCCTTAAAACAAATGTCTGGTCTTCAAAGCCTCAAAACTGCTAATAAAGAAGTGATGTAAAGAGAGATGTAGAAAGGTTCATGTACAGGCAGTAAAACTACAAAACATATTGTCAAATTTAGCGTTAAGAAAGAACATTTCCCCAAAAACAGAAAAACCTTCAAGAAAGAAGAAATGACCAAACTGCTAGAGTAACTTTTAAGTGTCCTGTCAGCTTAGCCCCTCAACCTCAACTTGTTTCTCAACCTCAGAATATATAGATGAGGATGGGTGGAACACCAAAGAAAATCTTTAGAAGAGAATCGGTCTTATCAAAGCCTACTCGGGTCTCCCCAAAATTCTTGCTCGTAATTTGGCAATACTCCATTAACTTCTTTTTTGAAACAAATTATTTAAGATAATTATCACAATCTCTTTTGATATCACTATTTCTCACAAGACCTCAGAATTAATAAGAGGATGGAAAGAGAGATCTCCTCGAAGTTAAAGATATAAGCAGCAGTTCCTAGAAGTAAAAAGTGATTAAAAGTATGTCTTGATTAAGGCAATTAGATGTCAAACCTTTCAAGCTGTGCCTGCAATATACTAACACATGCTACCAGCTCTTCCTTATCCTTCAAAGCATTTGATTCCTTCTGTACTGCTTCCTTGATTCTAGCTTCAGCATCGGCCTCTGCAACCCTGACCTTCTCTTCTGCTCTCACAACGGCTCCTTCTAATATGACTACATGCTCTCTAGCTTTTGCAAGCTCAGAACGCCATAAATGTGCCTCATGAAAACCAGAGTCTCTCTGCTTAATCAGTTGATCTCTTTCTTTATAAAGTGCCATAACCTTTTCTTCAGACTCTTTCAACTACAGATACCAAATCCAGATCAGCAACATTAAATTAGTTTGTAAGTAGTAAGAATCATTATAAGAATCCTAGAATATCAGAAGGGCTATCCCATGATCATGACCAAGAATATCTTCCTTGAGAGACCATTTCAAACTTTTCAAGATTACCTTGGACTGAGCACAACCTAAAAACACATAAGAGTATATTTAATATTCACCAAGTATTCCCTCTTAGATTTGTAAAAGAGAAGAGTATCATTCACAACCAGATTTCTTTTATTGATTGACCACTGCCCATCTGCAAGCCCTGGAGCAAGTTACCAATTCTGGCCATCTTGATCACCCGATGAAGGGCCTTCATGACCAGAACGAAGAGAAATGTAGATGAAGAATCCCCTTGTCCCAAACATCTTGAAGTAGAAAAGAAATCAGAAGGCCACCATTGATCATAAAAGCAAAAAAAAAACAAAAAGGCAAGAACAAAGCAAAAGAAGAAGAGATACACCTCTTGACCTACCAACATCATCTCTCGCCAAAGCTCATCCTTCTATGCAAGTATAGCAAGAATGACCAAGAAATATGGCACACGATGTCAAGGTTACAGAAGATTTCCCTAATTCCAAACCCGATTTCAAGAGTTGTGACCACACACCAAGAAAAACTGACACTGAGCTTTGAACAACCACATGAATCTCTAGGCGAAAGAAAAAGAAAGAGAATTGGCCCTAATCCTATTCTAAGCAATCATGAGAATGTCCTAACACCCCACCCTATAAGACAGAAACCAACATTTTTCGTTTCTATCACTAAAAACTTCCTTGGTGATAGGAAAGACATGGATGAAAGGAACAGCCAGTAGGGAAAAAAAAGAGAGAAAAGGTAGACAGGAATTTCTCTCACTAGAAAAGGAGAAAGAGGAATTTAATTGTTTTTTATTTCAGTAGTGTATTTTTAATGAATGAATGTTTTATAAGAATACTTAAAAGTTGAAAGGTTTATAAGAACTCATCAGCAAGAATTTTTTTATTTCTAATAAGGACATTTTGGGAAAAAATAAAAGACCACATAAACTTTGTTACATACCTTATAAATCAGAGAAAAAAAAAAAGAAGGTTTTCTAGCCTTTTTTTGTCCTTTGATTTCTAAGCTATTGGCTTATAAGCCAAAAAACACAAAACAAACACATATGTAGTTTTGTTTTCTCTAAACAAGTTTATAACCTGGTTTGACTCAAACAAACCAAACATCCTCTTATTAGGTAATTAAGAGTGACTTTATTAGGATAAAAATAAGCAGAGCATGCTTCCATTGCATTTTTCTCCACTTATCTTAACAAATCTTCTTTTTTTATCCAAAAAGAAGTGGAATGTTTCTAACACTTCGTAGGAGTGTTTCTGTCATCAAACAATTTTTGACCCTCTTACACAAAATTGCTTATTTTTTAAATTAGCACCAAATTGTTATAGGCAACTTAAAATGCCAAATGCTTTAAGTGACCTAAAAGACATTTCTTTCAACAATCCTAAACACCCTTTTTAATGAATAAGGAGCTCATTTATCCAAAATTTCTTTCAAATAGCATTTTTCTGTTCATGGATAATTAGAGAAACAAGAACTCTTACTACCTTCAACTTGGTTGCATCCAGCTGCTTCTCTAAGTCTTTTGTTAAACGCTCAAATTCTGCACATGCTATTCTCCTTTGTTCATCCATTGTATGAGCTGCAGCTGCTGCAGCTTCAGCAGCTTCAGCCGTCTCAGATAGCTTATCTGCTATGTTTCTTATTGTCGAATCACGTGCACGAAGGTCTCGAGCAAGATTCTGTAGTTCTTCATCCTTAACACGTAAGGTCTCCTACAAATATGAGAAGATAAAAGACCAAATATGAAATATAAAATAAGTTAAACAAAGATATTTGGTGAATAAATGCCTATTTTTAATCAGAAAAGGAAATAGAGAAACAAGAAAGTATTCTGTAGAGTGGCGATGTAGCTAGGCCTAGTCTATTATATTTAGTTGACCCAGTAATCCTATATGGTTCAATATCTGGGTATGCTCAATCATGAATCTATGTTTCTGAGGATGCAAGTAAATCCCATCCTAGTTTATTCTTATAAATAAATTTATCTCATCATGTGAGCCTTTTCTTGCAATAATTTCAAGTTCGTGGTTTCACTTCACTTTTTAATATTCAAACATATTTGATATTTATTACAAAATTCAACCAAAGATCAAGTAGACATTCAATAATTAATTAAAACTCTCAAGAAAGCAACTAGTAACTTACCTTCATGATTGCCAAATCGTCCATTGGACCATCAACTGACCTATTCTTAACCATTCCTAGTGCATTTCTGAGTGAAATTTGCATAGCTGCTTCAATTTCTTTAGAACATTCCAAGGCTGTTGAATTGGCAGCAGCAACAACTGTTGCCACTGTTCCTAATTTTGCTGAACCGTTGCCACTCAACGAATTCACAGCCTCTTTATGAGCCTTCAGAACCAACTGTGATGCGCTGGTGGTTTTAAGGCAAAATAAAAGGGATGTCAAGGATTAAGTTCAAAACTAAAATCAAGACCTTAGTAATAAACATCTGCAATTTACATGGCTGACAAAGGGGAAGCACATTCATGCAAAAGCTAGCAAAAACGAAATACCCTCCCAGACAAGGAAAGGATGAAGGAAAGAATGAGCATTAAGTAATTAGTATATAGTATTAAATTCCTCTCTACACTTCCATAATACCTGAGTTAAGAATGCATATTGTATCATATCATATGTGCACCATAAAAAGATCTTTCAACCTAAATGATGCTGATTAACTTAGCAATCCCAGTATCTTGAGGATCAAGAAAAAGACAGATGATGTAAAATATTTGATTTAAACCTTATCTTTTTCCAAGTTATGAACAATGGGTGAAGTATGTCAGTATGTTGAAGGTGGACAAAAATCTCAATATGCCATACTATGGGCTTCCTCAATATCTAAGTTCATCCCAATTATAGGTGGTCTTACAAACAACTGATATTTGGTGATGTTCTTAATGGTTGGTTATCAGCAATCAATGATAAACGATGATCTGATAGCACACATAAGTACATTGCATTCTAGAGTACATAAGAACGTCTAATGAAAGAGTAAAGAGCCAAAAAGGAAAAACAAGAAAGTAAAATGTTAGTTAGTGTGTTGAGTTATTTTGGTCACTTAAGTACAACCCTATAGATTTACAAAAGTTACATGGTTTTAGTCTTATTGTTTAGGATAGTGTTTAATCATCCTGCAACGTCTGCAGGTGTTAGAGTGGAGACCCTTGCATCATTTGGAATGTTGGTTTCCTTCTATCCTTCTTAAATACTTTGGTTTGCCTTTGGGTGCTAAGTTTAAGGATACTGCTCATTAGGAAACTTGCTATTAGCACGACCTGGCCAGAAAACGCTTTATCATTCTAAAGGCAGTAGACTGACGCCAATAAAAAGTACCCTCACCAATTTGCTCAGTGTTATTCCTATCCCTATTAAAGTTACCAAGAGGTCAGGAATCCATGGGGTTCCAGTTCCTACGGGGGAAGTTGAACAGATAAGGCATTACCACCTTGTGGCCGTTGATGACTTGAAAAGACCTCTTGCTCTAGGAGGTCTTGGAACTAGATTTTTGACAGCCATGAACAAGGCCCTTCAGGCAAAGTGGTTGTGGAATTTCATGTCCGTCGCAAAGGCTAATGGCGAGAGGTAACCGTTGCCAAGTATGAGCTGCAAAGAAGAGATTGTAAGACAGCTAAATTAGTCACAGTTCTGATACTAGCCTCTGGAATTGGATTAGCAAGGAAAGCAAGTCCTTTGATTTTACAGTTGTTTAGGCTTGGTAATGGTCAGACATGAAGTTTTCAGACAGACCAATGTGCAGCAATAGTCCCTCAAACTAGATTCCTCAACATTTTTGCTATTGCTGTCGATAAGAGCTTTTGATTAGGATATTTTGGTCAACAATGGCGACTCTCCTCTACTATGGGATCTCTGCTGCAAAATCTTAATGATTGAGAGATTAATTATATGATTTCCCTCCTGACTTTCCTGGACTCTTGTTAATCTAACCTTGCTGTTCGTATGTGGCTCACTCGAAAGATAGATTGTTCTCTTCTAGATCCTTTAC